AGGAAAATGTAACGAGAATGCCAGTGCTCAACAAATAAAGCGATCACGTTCTGGATAAAAATATCGAAAGTGCCCTCTCCCCAGAAACGAGAAATGGCGTTTATTGAGAGAGTCACATCCGATGGTATGCCGTCAAAGATCGTCGGCACGGGCGCGATAATCGTCAGTGAACGTCGTTTTGAAGGGCATCCCGATAGACGTACAGAAGCACTGGCTCCACTTCCTGAATCAAACTAAGGTCCTTTTGCAAGACTACTCCAGCCCAGGAAGCCAACCTCGTAAAGAGTGGTGATGAACCGGCTGCCAGATTTCATCAGCACAGGGCAATGAACTTTCTGCTCTTGATCGGGTCTTGATCCACTTGATTTCATTAGAATAGAAACTGTCGGGTTTGCGTTCCCAGTTTGGTACGTTAGAAAGCAAGATTCAAGAGTGGGTCGGAAGAAAGAGAAGAGGAATCGCATTCAACATGCGAGAGGTTCGAGAACGGAATTTCGACCCACGCACCGATTAACACATGCATGTTGTACCACCTTCTGACTGTCGGTAGTACTTAGTGCGGCCACTACCTACCATGACGAGGATTAGGAAGAAATAATCTGCGCAATCAGGGGCAAAGCTACTGTTTTACGCTCCCCGTAGCCCTCTTCTTCTCCCTTGAAATTCCGGTAAAAAAAAGGACTGGCAAAAAGCTAATGTTGATCACGTTGCAGTTTCTTGTGATGACATTGGTTGGTTCTACGATAGAAGACGTTCGAAGAAACGTTCTGGGACGAAATTATTCCAAATCGACGGCAATGCAGCTTGCACAGCAAACTTTAGAATCGATCTCGGATCTTCATAGTATTGGTTATTTACACAGGTGGAAGAGAACGAATTGATGTTCAAATTTAACGCCAAGAACTTTCTCTAACTCTCTCTATTCCAGAGATATAAAGCCACAAAATTTCGCCATCGGATTAGGTGAACAAGAAAAGATCGTATTCGTACTTGATTTCGGTATAGCTCGGAAGTACACAGTTGGGAAAACAAAAACCGTAAAGTAAGTTATCGTCTGCTTTTCACAACCGAGAATTTGTCCCGTTTTGAAAATTCCTTTTTAATAGTAGAGGTAGAAGTCAAATAGCAATGGCAGAACCCAGCCGGTGAAAAATTACTGCTTTCAGCCGGGCAAGTGCGGAGTTAACTAACGACCTTGTAAAAGTGTGAAGCTTGAAAGACTGAGCGCCTACCGTGAAGCTTGAAAGACTGAGCACCTACCGTTTTGAAGCTATCTCTAGAGGGGTCGTTTAGTAGTAGCCCCAGTTGGCAGTACCCTACGACCAAAATAAAGGAGAGCTTTATCATGTATCCCTAAAGAATGGTACGGAAGCACCACTCCCACAGATGATCAGAGCTGTTTTTTTTTACTTTGAATAGTTTCGCAACTTTCTAGAGCTCCACGCCTATATGTAAAATTTATTGGTACTGTACGATATGCATCGCGATCCTGCCACAAATGTATGGAACAAGGCCGAAAAGATGACCTAGAAGCTTGGATTTATATGGTATGTCGGCAAAAAAGACAAACACAGTCAAAAACGATAATTTTCTCAGAATCATTCTCAATACTATACTGACAGAATTGATCTTTCGTCGAGGAGTTATCAGAATTTTTCCTTGGCCACACTATCCTAGTACTACAAGGACCTTTTTGAGTTCATCTACCACGGTATCGCATAATTACAGTACTACTTAGAAGTTTCGTTGAAATCCGGCCACAACCAGATAGATATTCTCGAAAAACTGCAGAGTGTGTTACATATGAAAGATTATTTACGATAGTTTGAATGAAAACCGGATCTGCTGCAAAAACATTAAATAGACAAAGCCTGCTTCTGGGTAGGCTTCCAGATGAGGAATTCTATTTTTTATTGGCAGCCTTTTCGTCATCTTGCGATCAAGATTATGCTTTCTCTCAAAGGAGGGAAGGGTTCTGCCTCGAATGGGATCTGTATTGTGGTGACGTCCACGAATGACTTATGCCAGGATCGTGATGCACCCGGCCTTCACTCCGTTCATACCGCGCGTCGGCGGCGCGTCGACTTGCCGCGCTGGCTATAGCACGTGACGTGGAGTGCCATTGCCATCATCTCGTTCGTCATGCTCGCGCGCGTTCGTCGTCTTGTCTTGCAAGTCTACCTTTAATCATCACTGTGTTTCTTGTCGCAGTGGCCGTAGCACTAATCATTTGCGTGAGGAATCTTAGGTATGGGTACAGGGAGGAGGTCTAATCGTTTTGAAGCCGTCGCCTGGACAGCTTACGTTTTTCGTAGCAGGACGCGCGGTACCTCGTAGAGTCGGATTGTAGGGGAATGCGCAGGAAGCTGAGTTGAGGATTGCTAGGCTCAAGGCTTGATCGTAGTTCTCCGGTACCGCGTAGTACCATAGTCTCTGGGGTAATATGTGCAAAGCGACCGGAAAGCAGAGCATCTAACCCTGTCTTCGCAGTACTAATGAGGCAGCTACCGTCGCGACATTCAGGCTACCAGCTAGACGGCAAGGTCAGGAAGAAAATCAGTCTGGAAAAAAGGATTCATAAAAATCTCACCTTCATACAGGGTGGTGATTCATTCACGTCCGCTGGAGTGTCCGAGCTTTTTTTCAGCCGTTATCAACTCTTTCTTCTGCTGGGCTCGGAAAATAGCTCTGACATCAACCCGATGAAAACGTTTGAATTCTCATTATCTCGAATATTCATGTCTGTTAGACCACTTTGAGAACGTCCGTGAACTCAAAAAAGCCATCACTGAAGCACTCGACTGAATGGATGGAACGGTTCATCGAAAAACTCTACGGGAGCATGGACGGCCGTATTTAAGGTTATGCGGACAATTGGAGGTCTTATAAATTGCTCACAATCAGTCAGAAAATCTCTGTTGTCTCGATTGTAGCGAATCGTTGCTACCATATTGTTTATGAGCTATTGAATGTTGCGTAGCTGATCAAGCAGCTCTTTCTTCAAACGCTGTCGTTTATAATAGAACAAATTCTTTTTCATCCATATAACATTTTTTTCTACAGGGAGTATCTTGAGGTATCTTTTTTATTCGAGTTTTCGGGAATTTCTAGGTAGAACTGTAGCAGTATGCTGTGTGTGTACTAAACGACCGTTAGAAGCTGCACAGAGATTTTGCGTTGCCACAATGTCGTTGCCTCAAGCCCATGGACCTACTCTTAGCGTCACAGTCAACGTGTATGTATCGACGCCCTACAAGCGAAGTGGAGCCAACGGATGTATGGTGTCGCGCCGATCCGTTCACGCCGCTTGAGGCGCCCTGCCGAACTACCACCAATTAGGGTCGGCCTCGGCGCGACACCATACACGCCGAGGTCGATCCGCATCAATGGGTGCTCGGCAGGGCGCCCCCAGCGGCGTGAGTCATCGGGGTCTTCTGCCCGCTCGCCATGCTCGTATTCAATTGCCACACGGACTTGGTAGGCGTGAGGCTGCTCCAGTCTCCCTTGTGAGCTCCTACGAGCTGGCTCCGCCTCCGCAGTACGCTACGAGGGTTGCTAGCCCCGCGCCGAGCCTCCTCGGACGCTGAGCGCACGGTCCCACTATGGCCTGCGTACCCATCCTTGTGCATTAGGATGGCTGCGATATAAATGGATGTTACCAATGCTCTACCTACTAACAGCACACGTTATAAAATACACTATTTATAATAAACTACCTATGATGAGAAAAGGAGGGTAAAATGCGAGTAAATGTAAAAGTTACGATACAAAAGTCACTATGAAAAAAGGCATGAAAAATACACATGAATCTAACCACACTCAACCTACGGACTGGGTACGATCCTGATTAATCCTCACCCAGTCCCATCCAAGTCATCCCAACCTCCTTCGGCAGTGCTGCTGCAAGGTCCTTCGGTTGCTGTGGACCATTCATCTAGATGTTTCCAGCTGGCACCATACTCCGCAGCGATGGCATCACTCGTGGATGGCAACAGCGTGGTGCTACGAAGCCGTCGGAAGCTACGACGACGATGAATGAATGATGCAATAGTCACATAGGGGCTAGAGTCCACTGCCACTGCTCTTCTCTAGCTCCCTGCGGCGTACTGTGCCTTCCCTGGCGGGACCACGGGCGCGCTACGCCAGGCCGTCATTCAAGCCGTCCGAACGGCACGAAATATGGCATCGGTAATTTGTCAATGCGAAGTCTGGACGCAGGTTGAGCGCCATTGTAAATCTGGAACGCGAATTCGGAAAACCCGAGTGTTCAGCTTACGAGAGAGTGCCAGTCTCTCGTAAGCTGAACACCGCTGTAATTGCTGTAACTCGCTGACTTTGATTTCTGCTCATTGCTTTGAGTGTTTACATGCAGTGATTCGCGTAAGCGGAGCAAAAGTAATGAAAAAATAATAATTTGGTGATTATTTACAGGTATTTGATTTGATAGACTGGGAAGACGGTTTACAATGGAAGCGTTTGCCTGATCGAAAACAGGTGGTACATTTGAAAGAGAAATTCTTCGCATTCAGACGTGAGTTCAGAAACATTCGGTTTAGTCTGTAAAGCAAAAGAGGTCGAAGTCGTAGCATTCTGTAGATTCACGATGAGGATTAAGATGAACGAATTCCTCGATCTTTCAGTACCTAAATGCTATCACATTGTACCGGAGGAGTTCAAAAGAATTGTCACTTACGTGAACAAGTTGAGCTTCTCTGATGAACCCGACTATAGGTGAATGTGAAGAGTATGAGATTCTTTTTCTCAGTATCAGACTCACTTTTAGGCATTTGATACATTTATTGCATTCAATAGCAAGAGCAAATGACATTGATTTGGAAAAGCAGTTAGACTGGATCGGGAGGTCAGGCAAATGCAGAATATCGGAGGAAGTAAGTTCAGGAGGAAAAGCTGAAATGACCGAAATTCCAACAGTCGCTGTCGCATCTGGAACGAGACATTGGCTTTATATCTCTTTGAAATTTTGTAAAGATTATGATTCACGGTTTTTTGACATCTAATTGAGCCCCACCTGAGCTCACAATCGGGACGGGACTGCCACATGTCAGCTTTTAGAAGTCCAGAACATGCCTTCATAAGGAACAACTGAAGTCGTTTCCATCGCAAACTGTGCCCTTCATCGGCGCACCACTCGGATGGGACCTGCTAAGGTTTTCCGATACTTAAAGGCTCAGTTTACGTTTAAACGATTTTCCCTGTAGTATGAATTCGAGGCTCCCTCTATACCACACCTGTCTTACAAGGTCGAAAAAGTCTTGGATGGATCAAATAAGGGTCCAGAGACTGTATCGCGTCAAAGCCACACCCATAGCGACCGAGATTCAATGGCAGGAAGCTAGACTATCTCAAGAGACTCCCATGTAGGGAGTTCAAACAACTTGGCATAACCCATGGCGACAGAGAAAGGCAGTTTTGGAAGTTTTCGGATAGTCATCGTTTTGCGCAGTGGGAGCAAGTGAAATCTCGTCCAAACATCCCTTACATGCCAATCCCGTCACGGTGATCTGACCTCCACTTCCACACTTTTGAAAAGGCTTGAAGAAGGCGGGTTTCTCCGCACTGAGCACGTAGGTTGCCTTTTATATTTCGGGATTGGAGAACAAAAATAATTATTAGACATTGAAAACCGCCTTACTGCCTTTCAAAAGTCTTCACATTAAGACCTATACACTTTTGCATGCGCTCGAACCAATTGTAGAAGCACTTTTGCCACTTTGATTGAGGTGACTCTAAAACATGCATTCTGAACGCATCAACGGCTTCTTCAAGCGTCGAAAAACGTTGACCT